GAAGTTTCTCCAACTCTGCTTCCTATTAGTTACAGTATCAGAAGAAATAAAGCTGTTTTTATCCAATAAAATGAATTTCATTTATAAAAATAGTCAAACATCTTGATTAATTTATGCTAATTTATGTTTATTTTTCTGAATACATAAAAGAAACTAGGAGTGTTAGTTTTAAAAAACCACATTTGTTCCCAAGGCTTAAGGACAGGCAAAGCTGTGACAAACACCAAGCTCCTACATCTTGGTGTGACAGAAATGTTCAGCAAGGTGTCCACTTCAGTCTGTTTTTGCAGGTGTGCAATTTCATTTCTGTGGGCTGGGTTGCTGCCACTGAAGAAACAACTCATTCAAAACTGAAACCCCAACTGGGAGTAGGAAAGGAATTATTTTTTACACATTGACAACAAGCAAGGAAAAGAAGTGTGAGACCTTGACATTTCCTCATTCTGAAAGCCTGAATGATGCAGTCACTGGAAGAACCCATTTACTCACCACAGAAAGGCTGAGGTGGGAGGAAGCCTCTCTGGAGCTTTGTAGTCCAAGCCCCTGCTCACATTAGGGATAAAATTGTGGTTGGATCAGGTTGTTCTTGCATGAAACAAACCTGCCTAAAAAGGCTACAGCAGTTTGTTCAAGCAGGCTTTTATGTATCCACTCCATTTTCATTTGTATTAATAATTCAAGAAACCATTTTTAAATGCTGCTTTTGCAATCAATTAAATATTCCATTTTCTAAATGTCAAGTAAAAAATGCTTCATTCACTATTTCCTAACAAAATAAAGTATTCAAATTAAGTATTGGAATTAATGCACGTTATAACTCTGCAGTGCTTGTACAAATGTGAATAGATTAACATATCTACCAGGTTAAAAAGAGTGACAATTTTAATGTAAAGTCTATATTTATCAGCATATTCACATAGGTCTCAGCCAATGACAGTAAACCCATTGAAATAAAGTACAAATGCAGAATGAAGATGATTTAACCTGTGAATAAAGTCAGCAATTCAGAGAATTTCAGTTTGAATCAGAACACTCCCGGGTGCTTTTGTCTGTGCAGATGGGCATCTGTGCCCTGCTCTGCATGGGCTGGTACCTACAGCCCATCCCACAGGCTGGAGGTGTCCAGCACTGGGATCCTGGAGCAGTGTTTGGAAGAGTTAGTGCTGAGCAGGAAGGGGCTCTTTGCTTGTCTGCTGTGTGATGGCTCTGGGGCCTCTTGGCAGGGCTGTCCCCTCTGCTGAGAGGCTCCTCAGGGCTGTCCAGCTCCTCCTGTGAACAGATGAGTGTCCCCCTTCTCCACCTGCTCCCTTAGGCGTGTGTTTTGGGGAATGGAGGTGTCACACCTTCCTTTGGTGCACTGCAAGGAATGCAGTGAACCTGGCCTGTCTCAGGGGCTCTGTCAACCCCTTTCTGAGACCACCCCAAAATCAACACAACCTCATGGCCTCCTCCCTAAGCAGCCTGCTGTTTAATTTCTAGCAACACACATCCAGCTGGGTTTGGAAGCATTCTTATATCATCTCTGCTCACATTTCAAATTATTTAAGACACATGCTTTCTGGGGATGCTGCTTGACAAGCCACTGGAATTCACACCTAATCTTTGTGGCCTCCATCTTTATGGGGCTTTCAGCTGACCAGACATCCTCTCCCTGCCCCAAACCCCCCAGTTTAACTCACTGTGCTGACACAAGGTCTGTGAGCCACGGTCCTGGAGTTTCCAAGAGGTTTTCAGTCACTGCTGCTGCTGGTGGTGTTTGTGGTGGAACATGCAGCATGGAAAATGCTGAGAAATAGGCAAAGTATTTGAGACAACAACAAGGAAGAGGAGCTCATCTGCTGAAGAATGGTCCCTCACAAACCACACGGGCTCTTACAAAGCTCAGGGTTGACATGCAAGTGGATAGCAACATGGAAAACATCACTCCAGCAAGTTCTTGTCCCACTGTTACAGCTCCCTGCTGTAACTCAGGCACTCTGTAGGCCTGGGGGTTACAGCTGTGTCCCTCAGCCTGCCAGGTCCCAGCTGGCACAGGAACACTGGCTGCAGGAAACTGTTGTGTGGCAGCCCTGAAAACAAGGGTGCAAATCTGCTTTGCTGCAAAAATTACACTGCTTGTAATGCGTCATCGAGGGTGCAGCCTTAAAGGTGCTGAGTGAACCCTCAGAAATCAGAAAATACTGGAATTAGCAACACCCCCGTGCTCCACATTGCTGACAACTATAATTGCTTGATGCAGCAGTAGGGAGTAGACTTCCTCCAGCCTGCAGCATTGATGCATCATGTACAAGTTACTGCTCCTCCCCTCCTCTTCCCTCCCCCAGAGATGACTTTGGTTTTGCAAAGACTTGAAATGCAGGTGCCCCACAGCCAGCTGGCACACACCTCATCAAACAGCACAGCACTGCCTCCTGCTCTCACAGCCTCCCAACCTTGCTGGGTGCATGCCAAGACTCACTGGTTTCTGCAGAGTCCACTTGTGGACTTTGAGTTTTCTGAAGGATTCTGACAACCTGAATCAAGTCCAGGACGTGCCACAGTGCGTGAGAAGTGCTGGGTAGCCAACATGTCCTCACATCCATAACCACCTTCCCAAATAAACAGCATCTCCCCACAGGCATTGCTACCAGAGCACCAGCCAAGGGGCACTCCTTTGGCAGGTCCCCCTTCTTTTGCATTCATTCTTTTTTCCTGTTCTCAGGAAAATAAATCTCTTGCTGGCACACGAAGACACTGGCAGTGTAACCAGCACCGACCAGATATCAATAACGCTGTGTGCCATTGCCCAGAGAAGTTTTGGGTGCCCCGTCCCTGTCAGTGTTCAGGGCCAGGTAGGATGGGGCCCTGAGCAGCCTGGTCTAGCAGGAGGTGTCCATGCCTGTGGCAGGGGGGTTGAAATGAGATGATCTTTAAGGTCCTTTCCAACCCAAACCATTCTATGATTCTGTGATTCTGTGGCATGCCACATCAGTGTGCTTTCCTTAGTCCCACATTTCCATCAACCAGTCAGGTCAGCACTGAACTTCTCTGGGAATCTGCTCAATCAAGGTGACAGCTCAGCCTTGGCTCTTTCCTTGCAGAGAAGTGGAGGTGATTAACAGAGCTAGGGAGCTGAAGGCCCTGCAATTGTCTAAAATCAGCAAACAAGCGATTTGTCTCAAGATAAGTAATGGAAGACTAGGAGCTGCCAAAAGTATGAAAGCTCCAGCAGTGTTGCCTGTTTTAATATGGGTAGCAAGAGCTAGCTGGAAAAACTCTCCTGATCATTGTTTAT